GTGAATCATAAGAGGTATGTGCAATGGATAGCAGTAGTACAAAGGCAAGAGTGTACTGTGTCTGGGGAAAACAACACAAGCTGGACTTTATAATAAATAAAAGTCAACTAAGCCAACATAAAGGTAGAAGGAACAGCATTATGCACAGTCCTGGAGATATGAACTAACAAGGCCTGCTGTCACCATTTTGCTTATCACTCTTCCTTTTTAAAAACTGAAGTTAGCATAATTTTTATCCTTTTTAAAAATGTTGTTTGTCTTATTTGGTTTCTAAAGCAATACATGTTTGTTTCAAATATTAAAATTATACAGAAATGTATGACCTAGAAAATAAGAGTCTTCCATAATCCCAACTGTCAGAGGTATGCTATTGTCTGTCTGCTAGATATGTGTCTAGATATTTTTTTAATATATGTCCCAAACTAGGATCATACTTATTCTTTTGCAACCTGTTTCTAAGTCAGTAGTTGTTGTTGTTATGTGCTGTCAAGTCGGCTCTGACTCCTGGGGACCCTATGAATGAGTGATGTCCACAATGTCCTGTCCTCAACAGCCCTGCTCATCACCTATAGACTCATGCCTATGGCTTCCTTTATGGAGTCAATCCATCTCATATTTCATCTTCCTCTTTTCCTGCTGTCTTCTACTTTTCCCAGCACTATTTTCTTTTCCAAAGAATCCTGCCTTCTCACGATGTGCCCAAAGTAGGACAGCCCCAGGTTTATCACTTTTGCCTCCAGTGATAGTTCAGGCTTAATTTGCTCTAGGACCCACTCATTCATCTTTCTGCCAGTGTGGGGTATCCATAGAGCTCTCCTCCAAGACCATATTTCAAAGGAATTTATTTTTTTCCCTGTCAGCCTTCTTCACTGTCCAGTTTTTCCACCCATACATAGTAGTTGGGAACATGAGTGTTTAGTCTCTAACGACACTTCCTTGCACTTGATGATTTATCCTAATTCTCTCATTGCTGCCCTCCCAAGGCTCAGTCTTCTCTTGATTTCTTGGCTGCAGTCTCCATTTAAATTGATGACTGAACCAAGGTAAACAAAATCTTTAACAATTTCAATGTCTTCATTGTCTACATTTAAGTTGTGTGGTTCTTCGGTAGTCATGATTTTGTCTTCCTGACGTCCAAATGCAGTTCTAAGTCAGTACATGTAACTAAATGTTTTGTACTCTGTCCTCATTTTTAGGATGTTTTGTATCCCATTGTCTGGGTTGAATGGCAGTGTAGTGTAGTAATGAAACATGGAAGCATTGGAGTCAGATAAATCCCAACTATACCACCACTAACTGTGTGACCTTGGGTAAGTCAGTTAACCACCCTGTGCCTCAGCTTCCCTGTGTGTATTATAGGATCAAAATAATACATATCTATGTCAAATGATTGCTATGATGATTAAATAAATTAATATTTGTAAAGCACTTAGAATAGTGCCTCATAGATGGTAAATCCTCTAAATGTGAGCTTGTATTACCATAAGGTATTTAACCAGGGCCCTATTGATGGATGTTTGTGCTGTTTCCAATTCTTTGCATGCTTCAGCTACTAAAGAAACTTCCAAGGCAAGTTTTGAATTACCATTAACTTCTATTACATTTGGGCTCCTATTTCTCACTAACTTACTGACGCTCAACATCTGCTTATAAGCACTTAACAAATGTGTACTTCTGTTGTTGACTCCCCTGGGAGGAAGCATAAAATGGGGTGGGAGGGGTGCAATGGAGTAGGTTCCGGGCCAGACTCAAGGGAGTCCATTGCAGGTTTTCTTTCTGCAGAGAGGCCATGCCAGGAAGGTGAATGCTGAGCATAGACTGAGAAAGGAAGCAGGAAGATTGGGATCTGAGAGGTCAAACAGTAAGTCAAGCTGGAGACCTGGGCTGGAAAGAAACCAGAGAATGAGTGCAGGCCAGAAACATATGGCCAGAGACAAACCTGAGGACAGAGAACTCAAAAGAATGCCTTGGGCACCAAATCTTTTAGAAAAAACGTATAGTATACCTTCTTTGAGATGCTTTACTATATATAATTCTCATCAACCTGTAGATACAAATGAGGTTATGTTAATATTAATTCCAAAACTACGAGGCTCTTCCCCTTCTTGCTCACATGGGAACTCAGCTTCCTTTTCCCAAGGCCCCTGGGCCATTGCTGGGAGTCAGCCGGCTGCGGGGTTGTCACGTGGGCAAGGATAAACTTACTCAAGTTGGCCTGATCTGGCCTCCTTGCCAAGGTGCCTGGCCAGCCACAGTCCCAAGTGCTGGAGACATCTCAGAGAAACTGCTTTGCTACTTCCTCCTGCCCTGCTCTCTACCCCAGGGGAGGTACGCACAGCTGTGTTCTTTGGCAGAGTATGTGTAGGATCAGAGGGGAAAATGGCCCTATCTCCAAATTTATATCTAGACTTTCTCGTGAATTTATCTCCTCTTATTTCTCTCTCCAGCTTCAGTCTAACTGAAGTTTCAAACTTGTCTCCTGAGGCTGAATTGGGGAAAAGGAGACGGTGACATATATCAGCCCCACCCCCTCCAGTGTTCTTTCTGCTTTATCTCTCTAGTCACTCCAGAACAAATATTGACTGACCTTTGTAGTGGATTGAATGTAAAACTAATCCCAATTCTTTGCCCCTCTCTGTATCTCTGTCCTTTGCAATGAGACATTCAGCTCCTCCCTTTAAGGAGTGGAATCTCCCCCACCCCCTTGAATCTGGGCTGGCCTTTGATTGGCTTTGGTCAGCTGAACGTGGCTGAAGTGATAGTGTGTCAGTTCCTGAGTTCCACTCATGCTGTGGGCTCCTCTGCCACGCCCTGAGAACAGCCTGGGTTAGACCGCAGCTGGGGAAAAATTGTCTCAGCCCAGAGCCAGTCACCTGCCCGGCAGAGCCCAGAAGAGCTGCCCTGCCAAGCCCGGCCAAGATCAGCAGAGAGTAGATGACCTGCTCTTGGGTAAGTGAGGCCAGGGAGACCAGAAGAACCATTCAGCTAAACCATGGACTTGTGAATTAAATAGTCTGTGCCGTTTAAAGCCACTGGGGTTTCTGTTTATTACGCAGCATTATTGTGACAAGAGATAGCTGATACAACCCCCTTTCTCATCTCCAAAATCAAAGTTTTTGCAGATTCAAACACCCTTCTGAGAAGCTCAACAAAGAGCCAAACTCTAATTCTCAGTCAAGGTTCATCCAGGACACCCTGCCGCCCTGACAGCAGTCTGTGAGAGGGATATTGCAGCAGGATGAGGATGAAGATATTTTAATTGAGAGGGTGTCTGGGAGCCAGCTGGGAGAGACACACATGAGGAGTATGGGTGTAGGAATGTCCTACCACTCTTCAATAGGGCCGCAAAGACCACCATAAGCTTGGCATTTCTTGTGGAAACTGGCAAGGGAGGCCAATCTCACCATTTTGAACTGAGTTGGGGCTGAACTGAGACCAAGTGCAGCAGGAATCAAGGAGAAGACGTGGAGCTGCCCCAGGCCCTGGAACCGACTATGTCTACAGTCTCTGAGGGCAGGCAACCCTGCGGCGGGAATCTGAGTGACTGACGTGTTATTAACCTCAGTTAGTAATATGTCGCTACACGTCTTTCAATATACTCGGTTGCCCTGTCTAATGCTTGCCCCCGATAGCTCCTGCTCAATCTTGTAACCTCCAGTGATAGAGTTCCTTTGGTGAAGCAAGGGGAGAACATTGTTAAGTGTGAGAATGGTGGTCCCTGACTAAGGACCCCTCCTCTCCACTCTGGTTGCAGGGCAAGTTCTCTTCCCTCATTGTCCCCTCCCTCTTCGTTCATTATTTCTGAGGACTTGAAATGGAGCCTGGACAACCAGGGCAGATGAACGGAGCTTGAGCCACCTGGGCAGCTCTAAAGTGCTCCACTGGTCTGTGCTGACGGAGTTTCTTTTGGGCTGGGGCCCTGCCTATCAGAGCAAAGCAGCCCACACAGCCCAGCAAATGGCTGTCCCAAGGCAACAGGACGTTAGCTGGAAATCTGAGGACTGACAACTGGCACCACAGGTGCAGAAAAAGCAATAAAAAATAAGTTGCTGATGGCTGATTTCTAGTTCTAGTTATCCTTTTGAGTGATAAAAAATATGAAGTCAGGGCCTGCCCAGTGGCGCAAGTGGTTAAGTGCGCGCGCTCCACTGCAGCAGCCCGGGGTTCGCCGGTTTGGATCCCAGGCATGCACGGACGCACCGCTTGGCAAGCCATGCTGTGGTGGCGTCCCATATAAAGTGGAGGAAGATGGGCACGGATGTTAGCCCAGGGCCAGTCTTCCTCAGCAAAAAAAGAGGAGGATTGGCAGATGTTAGCACAGGGCTGATCTTCCTCACAAAAAAAAAAAAAAAAAGAGGCCAAACGTAGAATAATTCTTCTTAACTTAATAGCTTAGTCTGTCGGTCCTATTGGGCTGGGTGTGAGGGTTGGGTTGAGTTAGGTCCTGTGAGGTAGTTAATGTGTGTCCTGCTCCCTGGAGAATGCTCCCTGGACATTTTCCACTGTAGTCTAGTTATATGGGTGTGGTCCTGATTGTTTGGTACCTGGCCCTGGGATGATTTTTGGCAGGGGGACTATTGACTTGTATGTGAAAGTTAGATAAAGAAGGTGGTTTGGGGTCTGGGCTCTGAATTGGTTGTTTTGCATATCAAAGTCACAGGCAAATTGCCTGCTTTCTCTAGGAATTAGCTAATCCGGGAGGGGGCAGACCCTCCCCCCCAAGTCCAAAATGCCCTAACATGGCAAAGCACCATAAAATACAGAAAACAAAAAATGTGATTAATATAGCAAGTTAAGAGAATATGCGTCCCTCTATTATCAGCCCTGAGCAACTGAATTATCGGGGATACTTTGTAGCCTCTGGGCCTTCTCTCAAGGCCCCACACACAGTTTAGGACTCAGTATTCTGCCCTAAGTATTCATAGAAGTCCTTCCCACCATCTCGCTCCAGCTCTCTTGACCCAGAGCAGTTCTTGGCTTTTTCAGGAAACAAACGGGATGAAAGTCCAGGGCTGGGACTTCCTCCTCGGGGTGTTTGACAAGGACTGACGTACTCTAGGCCCTTTGAATCCCGGAAGTCCAGGACAAACCCAACCTCGATTGCAGCATTCCAAATGCTGGAGAGTAGGTAAAAGGACGGAAGCAGAGAACATTTCAACATGAGGGACCCATTGACAGATTGTTCGGTGAGTAGCTCGGCATGGTTTGCGTGCCTGTGTGTGAGAGGGTGGCTGAAGGGTAGATTTATGTGTTAATGGATTTTAACTTAAGAAATCTGAGACGCTCAGAAGCCAAACATGTTTAGGTATAGGCTGTCGTACAAAAATCTGTGGTTTTTCTTCGGTTGGATTTAAAACAGAGCCCTTTCTAACAAATGACAGGGCAGATAATGGTCATCTTTTATTCTTGTGTTCTTGGGAAAACTTCGAGTGGGTATAGTATCATATTTGCATGCAGATGGTGGCTGTTTGGAAAACAATCTTAAAACATACACCAATGGTGCCAACATCATGTGTAGAGTGGATACAGCAACACGCAGAATATCTGCAACCGATTTTGGGCTCTGGGAATGAAGTTAGGGTGGAAGGTTTTTTCGTATTTTCTCATATCATTTAAAGCCAAGAATTGCAAGTCCTGAAGGAGGAAGGACAGACTCCCCACTCTGTCTGGCCTGCTGTGGCTGTCAGACAGGTTACCAACATGTTTGTTTCAGTCCGGGGAGTTTTACCAAAAATAGAAGATTGGTCAAAATTCAAAACACATTGTGAGGTCATTAACAGCAATAGCAGAGATGTAATTTAGGAAATGAGGAACAATTAAAATAAAGGGGGGAGGAAATAAAGTAATCAAGGGCTGTCAGAGTGTTATCCCAATAAATGATGCCAAAAAGCTAAAATTGGTAACATCAGAAGCAAGGGTTGCATTCATCCTCCAAGCATTTTATTTAAAAAAAAAAAACAATTGTGGAGAAGCAAATAAATGGTGGCTGCAATAAAGCCATAAAGAAAAAGGCCAACAATTATTGGTTGCATTTGATTTATTCGATGGACGAGGAAAGCACAGGCTTAGAGAAGATAGAACTTTAATTGCTATTCCACAAAATGAGCTCATGAATCAGACAAGCTAAACGAGATGACGTCATAGTGGCTAGTAATACTAATAATGACAACGTAGTAGCAGGCTCCGCCTACTTTTACTTTTTTAAATACAAAAGTAATATGTGTCTAATGTAAAAACAAATTCCAACAATAAGGTTGTATATAGATTTTGGGTGAAACTTCCTCCCTTTAATTTCCTCCATCCCAATCTTCTCCCCATTGGTAAGAACAGACAACTTTTTAAAAAAGTCTTTTGTTGTTTAATTATCTAATGTTTGTTTATTTTTCACTCTTTGCATTTGCTCCCTTACTAAAGTGTTAACTCCTCTCCTTTCTCGTCATTGATACTTGGATGACGTTTTTGTGTAGGAGTGGTTGAGTGGGACAGGGACAGGATAAGTGAAGGCAAAAAATTGGCACCAACAGGCACCGAAGAAGAAGAAAGTCAAGACCAAGGGAAGAGTGAGATAGAAGAGAGGGAAACTGAGACCAGGTTAAGTTAAAAAATAAAGGGGGCCGGCCTGGGGCGCAAGTGGTTAGGTGCGTGCGCTCTGCTGCTGGTGACCCTGGTTCGGATCCTGGGCATGCACCGACACACGGCTTGTCAGGCCATGCTGTGGCGGCGTCCCACATAAAGTAGAGGAAGATGGGCATGGATGTTAGCTCAGGGCCAGTCTTCCTCAGGAAAAAAAAAGAGGAGGATTGGCATCAGATGTTAGCTCAGGGATGATCTTCCTCACGAAAAAAAAAAAAAAAAGTTAAAAAATAAAAACTGAAAGCCTAACATTCTTTTCCAAGGCTGCCTTCAGATCAGGAACTAGGAGAAATGTTTCCTTTTGAGCAGCCCCCAAGACAACCCATCACCATATCTCTGTGTCACCTTAATGCTCCCTCCCTGATATGCTGGAGAGTTTTTTTCCCTATGCTGAGTCATCGCCCCAAGGACTCCTATCCTTGTCCAAAACCTTGAAGGTCATCTCTGTGGGCCCAGTGCCACCAAAAGGAGTCAAGAGGAGGCCGATATCCCTTCAGCCAGGGTTTCTAAATCTTCTAAAGTCATGGAATCTTTATTTATTTGCAATTGTTTCATCTTCATCAAGTATTCAAGTTGATTTCCTGGTGCAGTCCTAGTTTGTACTTGGGGAACAATGCTGTATAAAGATGAGGCTGCAGTGTGGGAACAGAATAAAGCAAAGGAATGCAAATGAATGCTTCATGAAACACTTAGGTAGTCTCAGGAAGAAACCAAAAAGATCCCACAGGTTTAACCATCTGCAAAATGTCCCTTTCCATGAGTCCCTAGGGTTGCACAGAACACAATTAATCATAAAGCCTTAGTTTAGCTACAGTTCTTAACCTGGTCTACCCCAGTGGATCCACGCATGGAAATCAGTGAGTTGCATGAACTTCAATGGGAAAAACATGACCTCATTGTTTTTACTATTTCCTAACAGAAATTTAGAATTTCCTTCAATTTTGAATATAAACAACTAACCCTAGTACTACTGCAGTGTCTGTGACTTTGTAACCAATAAAAATCACGTATGTGTTTATGTAATCTTGCAGTTGTTTACAGATGTCTAGAAATATTGTTTACACTCAGCATCACTTAAAAATTTTTGGTAATCTTAAGACGTTATTTAGTATGTTAATTAAAAAGACACATAATATCATGATTTTAAAATATGTTTTTATAAATAGATATCTATATAATTCATTTCCTTTGTAATCCTGTTATTTTACTTTATGTATTTGAAAATATTACTCTGAGTAAAATAGATTTCACCAATTTTTAAAAATTAAAAAATCTCTTCTTTTAGGTCATGCTCCAGTGGGCAAGATAGGCTGATGGCTGGGCTGTAAAACCTCAAGGAGCTGGGTCAGCATCTATGGTCAAATTATTAGTCATCACGGTAGCACAAAGATTGCCTAAATGCTATGTAGGGCTTTTAACTAATCTTGAGATTGTCAGAACTTATTTTTTGTGTGTGTGTGTGTGAGGAAGATCAACCCTGTGTTAACATCTGCCAATCCTCTTCTTTTTTTGCTGAGGAAAACTGGCCCTGGGCTAACATCCGTATCCATCTTCCTCCAATTTATATGGGACGCCGCCACAACATGGCTTGACAAACGGTGTGTTGGTGCATACCCAGAATCCGAACCGGCGAACCCCAGGCCGCCACAGCAGAGCGCTGGCACTTAACCGCTTGTGCCACCGGGCCGTCCCCTGTCAGAACTTATTTGAAGAAGATTTTTTAAAATTCTGTTTTTAAAAAGAGAAAGAGTTGGCTCTGGGCCCTGATGCCTTAAAGCCTGTGAGCTTAGCTTCTAAACCTAAAAATATACCACTGAAAATTATTTTCAAATCCATGTGCAATGAAATAGGATCAAATTATCTGGAAATGAAATAATCCAATCATTAAAAAAAAAAAGTAGCACCTTCCTATGAAACAAGGCCATAGAAATTAAGGGCAAATAACAAGCTGGAACCAAGTTTTTGCTTTTGCTCAGTCCTGCAGTATTCAGGTGGGACCCGTCGAAGCAGGCCTTCTAGGATCCACACAGTCAGCTCCTTCCCTGAACTTCATCAGCTGTTGAACAGTACCAGGCTGTGGGGCTGCTCCTTCAGCCTCGTTCAGGTGCCACCCTGAGCTTCCCATCTCAGTGGCTTAGCCTGGGTCACGGGATATTGACTGGCACTAAAACAACAGATGCTGGTGCAATGGTCCATTGTTCCTGAGGGATTCTGGTATGCTGCAGAGATAAGGAGGCAGGTTGGTTCTGGCGTGGATGTCCTGTGGCCCACAGCATCCCCAGTGTGCATTAATGAGATGTGTGACATGCCATTCCATATTTTGTGGGCCTCTGTTTCTTCATCTGTAAAGTAAGAGGAGGAGAGGATGGAGTAGACTATGTTCTTTAAAGTCCTATATCTCAGAATCTATGACAGCCGGCCATGGGGATTCCAAATATTACACAGATGCCTAACAAACACCAGTAATCCCTTAGTTAGAGGGGCAGGGCTTTGAAATATGATCTCAGATAAAATCAGTAGCACAGTGCCTGGCATGTGAGAGGCATCCAACAAAAGCTTATTTAATTAAATTTAAGTGGAATATTATGGCTTATTTAACACTATGAGGATCATCATTTTCCAAAAAAAAAAATCTTTTCATACTCGTACCTAAAACAAAAATGGATTTTTCTAGAATAACTGAATTTAACCTTTTTTTTTTTTTTGGTGACGAAGATCAGCCCTGAGCTAACATCCATGCCAATCCCCCTCTTTTTGCTGAGGAAGACTGGCCCTGGGCTAAGATCTGTGCCCACCTTCCTCCGCTTTATATGGGATGCCGCTACAGCATGGCCTGACAAGTGGTGCATCCGTGCGTGCCCAGTATCCGAACCCGGGCCCCCAGCAGCTGAGTGCATGCACTTAACCGCTATGCCACGGGGCTGGCCCCTGAATTTAACCTTCTTAATTATTCAAATCATGGAAAATCAGAAAGAGCAGCTAGGCCAATGTTGATATAGTGCATTTTATATTATTTACAAGTCATCTGTCTAATCATTTCATGTGCCTAGATTACTAATTTTTTTGTAGTGACAACATTTATGAAACAGTATTTGCTTACAAGTGCTCAGCAGAAACATTTTTCTAATGGCTGAATGGGAAATATCTGTGTACATCAGTTGTCCATGTGAAGGGATTTTTAGGGGCTCAGAAAGATCCCAAATATTCCACCACCAGCCTGAAACCACTTTATCAGGGAAAAAACCCATAGCTTTTTTTCCTAGTATTTAATGACCCCAGCAAGAAGCAGCATGTTAATATAAATTCGTATGGAAATATAAGATCAATAGTAGGTTCTTTCCTGGAACGAATATTCAGTAGGGTGTGGGGTACTCCAAAGCTCAATGGTTGGGAAAAGAATAACAAAAATAAACTTCCACATGACTTTGACCAGAGCAAACCATTCTTGTGCTGGTTGATGACATTAGGAAGCCATTTGTACTGCTCCTAATATAAGGTAACCATCACTCTGAGGAAAATTAGTGTGATTATACTGATTAGCCATTTATAAATA